AATGTCTTCTGATAGGCGACATCATTACAACGCACAGCTGGTTTTCTGTGGATGAAAAATGCTCTTAACCCTAAATTGTGGAGGAATTTCAAGATGCCCTAGGCTGTAGAGCATATTAGTTGGTGGTAAGAAAAACCTTAGACCCTGCAGTTTGAACTTTGTGGGCCAGTACATCAAAATTTACTTGACCCTTAACTTGAATCCTAACTCCTTGGATTCCTCAATTCATACAAATTTAGTTTAAAAACCATATGCAGTAAATGTGAATCTAGCTGTTTTCTGCAAACATGAATACATCTTCTTGTCCAAGTCACTGGCACCCAGGTCTGTCCCTAATACACTTTGCTACCTTACTCTTCTAATTTATGGGAACATGTAATTTCAGTCTTTAATAAAAACCTTTCAATAGCGATTTAAAATATGCTGATCTTTGCCAAAACTGGTGTGGCTCAGTGGTGGAGCGTTGGTCTGCGGACTGAAGGGTCCCGGTTTCAATTTCGGTCAAGGGCCTGTATCTTGGTTGCGGGCACATTCCCAGTAGGGGATGTGCAAGAGGCAGCTGATCAATGATTCTCTCTCATCCTCTGTAAAAAATCAATAAAATATATTTAAAAAATAAAAAATAAAATATGCTGATCTTTGAAAGAGAAATTTCTACAATGCATATATTAAAATTATTGAATGAAATGAGAATGAAGACAATTACATTGATCTTAATAATCCTAATTTGTGAACTAAGTATATTAAGCCTTTATGATGTGTACATAGTCTTTGAAAACTTAATCCCTGTTACTCACTTGGTATTGAGAAAATGGAGAGTTTCTACTTTTGAAAACCTTATTTTTTCCAAAGGATTAAAAACTTTCAACCTCATTAATTGCAAAAGAACCAAGGAGTTTTTTTCTAACATCTTTTTGTGGCATGTCATTGATTTAATGTAGTTTTAGTACATTTCAATATGAAAGCAATATTGTTGAAGAACAATAAAAAAATTTTGTTAATCTTTTTGCAGTTTTTAAAAAAATATACTTTATTGATTTTTTATAGAGAGGAGGGGAGAGGGATAGAGAAAAACATCAATCAGCTCCTGTCTGCACACTCCCTACTGGGGATGTGCCCGCAACCAAGGTACATGACCTTGACTGGAATAAAACCTGAAATCTTTCAATCTGCAGGCAGACGCTCTACCACTGAGCCAAACCGGTTAGGAATCTTTGCAGTTTTAATAGATATTTTCTTTTTAATTAGGGTATTACATATATGTCCATATCCCTTATTTCCCCCCATCCCACCCTTGCTCATGCCCTCACCCCCCTGGTGTCTGTGCCCATTGGTGAGGCTTATATGTATGCATACAAGTCCTTTGGTTGATCTCTCCCCCTTACCCCACTCTCTCCTGTCTTCCCTCTGAGGTTTGACGGTCTGATCAATGATTCTGTCTCTGGATCTGTTTTTGTTCATTAGTTTATGTTGTTCATTATATTCCACAAATGAGTAAGACAATGTCATATTTATCTTTCTCTAATGGAATTATTTCACTTAGCATTATGCTATCCAGGTCCATCCATGCTGCTGCAAATGGTAGGAGTTCCTTCTTTTTTACAGCAGCATAGTGTAGATATGCCACAGTTTTCTAATTCACCCATCTGCTGATGGGCACTTAGGCTGTTTCCAAATCTTAGCTATGATAAATTATGCTGCTATGAACATAGGGGTGCATATATCCTTTCTGATTGGTGTTTCTAGTTTCTTGGGATACATTCCTAGTAGTGAGATCACTGGGTCAAATGGGAGTTCCATTTTTAGTTTTTTGAGGAAACTCCATACTGGTGTTCTACAGTGGTTGCACCAGTCTGCATTCCCACCAGCAGTGCATGAAGGTTCCTTTCTCACATCCTCGCCAGCACTTGTCATTTGTTGATTTGTTGGTGAGCCATTCTGACAGGTGTGAGGTGGTACCTCACTGTCATTTTGATTTGCATCTCTCAGAGGATTAGTGACTTTGAGCATGTTTTCATATGTCTCTTGGCTTTCATATGTCTTTTTTGGAAAAGTATCTATTTATGTCCATTGCCCATTTTTTGTTGGAGATTAAAACTTTATCAGAGATAACATTGGCAAATATGTTTTCCCATGAAGTGGGTTTTCTTGTTGTTTTGTAGTTTTGTTGATTTTTTTTTCTATGCAGAAGCTTTTTATTTTGATGTAGTCCCATTTGCTTTTCTTTAGTTTCCATTGCCATAGGAGCTGTATCAGTGAATATATTGCTTTGGCATAGGTCTGAGATTTTGCTGCCTGTGGATTCCTCTAGTATTTATGGTTCCCTGTCTTACAGATAAGTCCTTTATCCATTTCAAGTTTATTTTTTGTGTATGGTGTAAGTTGATGTCCTAATTTCATTCTTTTGCATGTATCTGTCCAATTTTCCCAACAGCATTTATTGAAGAGACTGTCTTGATTCCATTGTATGCTCTTGCCTCCTTTGTCAAATATTAATTGAACATAATGATTTGGGTTGATATCTGGATTCTCTATTCTATTCTATTGATCTATATGTCTGTTCTTGTGCCAATATCAGGCAGTTGTGAGAATAGTGGCATTGTAATAGCTTGATATCTGGTATTGAGATCCCTCCAACTTTGTTCTTCTTTTTCAGGATTGCTGCAGCTATTCAGGGTCTTTTTTTATTCCTGATGAATTTTTGGAAAGTTCATTCTAGGTATGTGAAATATGCTGTTGATATTTTAATGGGAACTGCATAGAATTGATAAGATTGCTTTAGGTAATATGGACGTTTGGATGATGTTGATTCTACCAATCCATGAACACGGTATGTTCAATAAAAATTTTTATGTTATAAGAGTAAATTTAATAAAATACTTATGAAAAATCTAAACCTAGTAATGGTCCTGATTATCTGAATTTCAATTAATATGATGGTCTGCTCATATACATTTTGAAATAAATTTTATTGAAGACCCACCTTTATTAAATTAAAGTTTTGAGTTTCAACTCTCACAATACACAGAGGATTTAAGGGACAGAAAAATAATCTCTTATTCTCTTCTGTCAAAATCAATTATTATCAGCCTCCTATGAATCAGGAGGTCATGCTTAAATTCTTGGTCAGGGCACCTGCCCGGGTAGCAGGCTCCATCCCCAGTTTGGGGTGTGCATGAGGCAGCCGATCAATGATTCTCTCTCATCATTGATATTTCTCTCTCTCTCTCTCCCTTTCTCTCTGAAATCAATAAAAATATATTTAAAAAAACACACAATTATGTAAAGGTTTTCATGATGATTTGGCCAGCACAAATACATGGGAGTCATTCATTATGAAGAGCAATTGCATATTTCAATCCCTTTTAATTCCTTGTTACTGAAAGGTAGTCCACAAATCAGCAGCATCAAAGTACATTATAACTGCAGAAACCCAAGCCTTACTCCAGATCTACTGAATCATAAAAGGATACATTATTTAAAAGAACAAATTCTAAATTTATTTAAGAGTGTTCTGATGAACATATATGTTAGAAAAATTTTATTTGTATCTGGGTCCATGTCTATACTTTCCTTTATTCTGGAATGAAATTAAAGAATCAGACAGATACAAATATATACCTTAAAATTTATTTTTCCTGTGATTAAAGTTATCTTTTTTCCCCCCCAATAAATTTAAAGGTGTAAGAGGATGTTCTATTTCACAGTGGTGGTGGTGAGGGCTAAAAATCACAGCTCAAAATAAAATACTGTGGTTTTTCTTATAATATATTCAAGTCCAAACTAATCTGATTAAAATAGCTGCCATTTACTGAATGCTGCCTTATATGTAAGGAACTGTCATAAAGGGAATTTTAAAATGTCATTTAATCTTAATCATAAAATAGGGACTAGCTTCATTTAGATGAGGAAACAAGAACTGTAAAATGTTGGCTACTGAATTTAAACCCAGTAAAGTGGTTCTAGTTCTAACAATTCATAATGCACAATTTTTGGAAACTTCTTTTGTTACATAGTATATTTAACATATTTCATGTTTCCTCTCTTCAATGGAGAATATAGACACAATTTTCTCTTTGAATTACTTTAGAGATGTATATGATGATCTATTTATACTCACATTGACTTAATGGTCTTAAAATAAGATAAATGTCTTAGGTTCCTATGATCAATATATATTAATTATGTCTTTAGTGCCTTGTTTTTCATTAAAAAAAAAAGAGAGAGAGATATAAACTATCCTGTAATTTGTTTCCTTGCACCATCTAGTGGATTTAAATGACAACTGCGCAGTGCCCTTACATGATTACAAGTTAATTGAACAAGTTAAGTTTTCAAACATATTGGAGAACTGCTCCTAAAACTATCCCGGATCACACCACAAATACACTCACCATTATTTGTATTTCCTTTTTCATAAGGAACTCACTTTAAGCGTGGGTGCTGAGTTACCAGCGGCTGTTTAAAAATCCGCACCTAAATAACAACAGCATCATCATCCCTGTGATCTGTTTACGATTAAAACATAACATATAACATTCCAGTCTGTCCCCATCAATCAAACCCCCAAGGCTTCCAAGCAACTGCGCAGGCGCACCGCGCGTCTGCACGGCGCCAGTGCGCAGGCGCGCTTAGAGCGGAAGCGGGGAGGCGGGGCTCACGGCGGAGCCAGGAGCGGAAGAGGCCCAGGCAGCTGGCCGTCGCACGGAGACTGTTTGGCGGTGAGTCTGGGGTCGGCTGGCGCTCCAAGCCCCAGGCCGCGGGGGACGTTCAGAGACGCTCGGGACTCGGTGCTCCGGGGCTGTCGCCGCTGACGGCTGCTGCGCCGACCGCTGCTTCCCTGTCTGCGGCCGCGGACCCCCCCCGCCCGCCGCCCGGAGCTCGGCCCGAGCGGCCTGTAGGCCCAGGCGCGGCCCGCCGAGCCCGACGCGCTGCCGCCGCCCGCGCTGCCGTGAGTACCGCTGCGAGCGCCCTCTCCACGGCCGCGTGTGCACGTTAAAATGGAGGAGATCTCGCTCTCGAACCTGGATACCAGCAAGCTGGAGGCCATCGCGCAGGAGATATACGTAGACCTGATAGAGGATTCGTGCTTGGGCTTCTGCTTTGAGGTGCACCGGGCAGTCAAGTGTGGCTACTTCTACCTGGAGTTCGCGGACACTGGCAGCGTGAAGGATTTCGGCCTCCAGCCCGTGGAGGAGAAGGGGGCTAAAGGAGCGTGCCGCCTCCCGCTCCGCCCCCTCCCCGCGGAGCCTGGGAGCGGGCCTGATCAGGCGCTGCAACGCTCGCCTCCGGAATTCCAGTAGCTGCAACATGAGAGAGAGCCCGAGGGTGACCAGGACAAGAACATAGACTGGTCCTGTGGCCTGGAGAAGTGAGGTAGCTAAGTAGAGGGAGGGGAAAAAAAAAATAAAAAAAATCAGAAGTCCCAATTCCCATTGAACCCATTGAAGATTTTAGCCTTTAAAACCCCAAAGTGGAGAATTTAACAAATTCGGATTCTTTTCTAAGTATATGAACCTGGGATCAGGTTTGAAACGCTGGGCAGGAGGAGCTGTGTGTGCATCTTGCACCATTGCAATGCAAGGTTGATTTCTAAACACACCAGAAAGTGCACAAGGTTCCTGAACTGCCCGCCCCCCCACCCTGCACAGGCGAGCAGCTGTGTGCCCAGCATACTAAATCCTTTGGTTCCTCATCCTTTCGGTTTGCCCGATGTCAAGGGCTTCTTCAGTGACTAACACTTTGGACATAACTGATGGCCAGGCCTTTGTCTTTGGGCCTCGGTGGACTGCTTCTCTGATCTCTGAGCCTCTGTTTTGCGCTTCTTCAAAGACAAAATGAAAAGTCAAGAATGAGATCTGGATATTGGCAATTCCAATTTGGGGAAACCGAGAAGAAAGAGAAGAATTTCCAGCTGAATCTGATAGGGGGAACTCTGTGGTCTTGGTTCCAATAAGAAGAAAAGATCAAGTCACCAACTTCCAAGGGTCCAGCATTTACAGCGACTTCAACGGACTTGGGGACAAGGGCTAGGCTTCTGTGGAAGAGAGCCCTCTCTCCTCTCTGGCATCCCACGCGGTGGCATAGGCTTAGCAGGTGGACTACTTGGTTATCCAGGCAGGTTGAGGATTTGGTTACGGTCCCGTGGGGAGGGAGCAGGGACCTCTGCAACTATGGACTATCAAACAGCAAGATTCATGTCTGGATATGTTATTCTGTGGACAACAGTTTGGTGGGGCAGTCATTTTCTTACTCTTGTGATATGGTTACATAGTCAGTCCATGGTTCTGACTTGGTCACTATGCTGGGTCACTACCTGCCTTCTACCCTAGGGGCAGGCCTAAACCATGGAGGAGCATCATGGCTGTGCAGGAGGCTGTGCTTTGAAAGCTGAGCCCCAGTGGACCTCTTCCAGCAGCCCTCAATAATGTGAACTAACTCGAGTTAGCGTCAGGAGCCAAGGAGCAGGGCTGGGTTTTCTCCCATCGGCCTATGCAGTATCCAGTGGAATGCCCCTGTTCCTTGGGGTGTGCAGTTACAGAGCTCTGCTGTGGTCACCACCTTCTCTGCCCCTCACAAAGGGCAGTCCTTTTCAGTTGGTCTTCTTTGGACTTTGAATACAGGAGCTGTTTTTTTGTTGAAAGGGAAGGGCCCCCAGAAATTCCTTGGCTTCAGGGAATGGGATAAGGGGAGATGGAAAGTGTGAGCCACATATCAAAACTGCCCTCCTCTATTCCCTGACCGGAGGGTTATGAAGTGTAGAGGGGAGGGAGCCCCAAGGGGAGCAGGTGCTGCTTCATTTGAAATGTTTTTCTTACCTCATTCTGTGCCCCAGTAAGGGGCCCAGCCTCATCTGTCCGGCTTGGCCCCCTCTTCCTCCTCTTCCCTGCTCCACTGCCTCTCTGGTGCAGCTCATGATTCCAGGTGCTGCCTGCCACCTTGATTTTACAACGACCAGTTTCAGTTCATTCCTTGATGCTCCTGCTTCTGAAGCCTAACCAGTTTCATTTTCCTTGGCTTCTTTTAAGTTTTTCCCCTTGTTTTTGTGGGAGACTCGGAAGAATCTATGGCTCCCTCTGTTGGGAATAACGTGGGGAAAAAAGTGTTTGTATATGAAAGGCAATGTGATTCCCCAGTCTCCTCCAGGACTGCCTTGCTAATATTAATATGCCTTCCTGCTGTGTCTTATTTGATGAGGAGGTATAGCTTCCCACTTCCACTTGGATAAGCAGAAGAAAAGTAAAGGCTAGAGACAAACACATGGATGGAGTGGGTCCTGATCCGTTTTCTCTAACCCTGGCTATGCATGTATCCTTTCTTACTCTAGAATGAATTGTTTGGCCTGTGTGAACTGATTTGGGGTACATGCTCTAGAAGATTTAGGAAACAATAGTAATAGGGCCTCAAGATTGTGGATTACGGCATTTCCCCCCTAGAGTTGTCCTTGAGGGTAGGGGCCTAGTTACAGTCTTTAAGAACTATGATTACTTTTTAAAAAGTCAGACTTTGGCAAGAGCTAAAATAATTTTGGGTATTCTGCCCTTGACTTTATAGACATCTTCTAAGGAGATGTAGAAGTAAAGGAGGGTTTAAGTGAGACTCTGGCCTACTTCCAGATAATGTCTGGGAAACAGACTAAAGGTAATGCCATTGTCCACTCTTCCATCAGAGAGGAGCTCAGATTGTGACATTGCCATTTTCTTACTGGCCTTTTCTCCTGGTTAGAGGATGAAGTGGGAAGCTCATATTATCTCTCACTTGGTTTTGTTTTTTGCCCCCCACTATTAGGGCAGTAGCCCCTGCCCGGGATGGGTATGAAGTGGGCTAGAACAAACTACTTTCATTTTGGTGGAGATAATGCTCCCTACCATAGAGTTGACAGTGATTAGGAACTCTCCTTTTCCTTATCTATCTTCCCTCTAACAGCAAAATTATTATCCTTTCCTCTTCAATTAAATGTATTGGTCACCCTGTAATTCTTTATGTGTATGTGTGTGAGTGTGTGTGTGTGTGTGTATGAGGGAAGGGGTTCTTTACAAAATTTCTGTGGTTTGTGGCTTATTCTTCCATACATTATTTCCTATCACCGCATGCCCAGGGGCCATTACCTGGCATTATCGCATGCTGGGATCATTGGAGAAGTGTAGTGAAATTCACCTCTGTCCTTTGTTTTGGAGATTCTTATTTTTGCAAAGTAGTTTATCCTATATAGATGGCTGTGTATTCCCCTTGCCCCATGGCTGCTGGTGTAAATAAATTGCATCTCCCCATTGATAAATAGTAATAATAAAATTTTTAAAAATGACTTTATTTGGCCTTTGTATGTTAATCCTTTACAACTGGATGTTTTTCAGGTATTGATGGTAAAATAAATGTTTAATTGCTGTTGAACCTTAATCATTTTTCCTGATTGGGAGTTTTATCAGTATAGATATAAGAACACCGTCTAACTTTGTTTTTCCATCTAGTTTGGAAAATTTACTTTCTGCAACATCCAGTGAAAGAAATAAACTATATAGAATCTGCGCTTTTTCATATGAGGTAAGAATGTGGTAAAATAAAGTCCAATCTATCACCGGAAGTCCAATGTGAAAGAGTTCAATTTAAATGGAACTCAAGGTACCTTAATATATACCTTTCACCACCACTTCAAGCTAATGTCCTTGCTCTAAAATGTCAAGTGATTCATAGAAAAACATGGGTTTCCCTTTGTAAAGGTAGTTTTTTCCAAATACTTTATATTTTACCCCAACTTTTCATGTTTTTTCACTTTGTTTTTAGAATTTTGAATTTTTTATTCCACTTCCTAATCCAGAGTTGGAGTACTTCCCCACAAGTTGTGCATATTAATTAATACTTAGTACTGATAAAAATCACTTCATTGCTAAATGTTGTAGTTCATTAAAGAAACAGTCCAAAATTGGAAATAATGTTGTTAGAGTAGTAAAAATTATTATAGGAATTAAGAGGGAACATTGTCTCAAAATAGGGAGCCTACTGGACATATAACATGGTTTTGACATTCAAATGTAGTCACAGCAAATACTTTTGTATGTTTAGATCGGAATTAATATATTTAATACTAACCCAGTTATTTTTTAAAATACATTATTTGCAAGACCTCAGTGCTTTACTAAATTCATGGTAAGACTTCTAAAATTATTCCTTTTCATGTTTTCTAATACTTTTTTCTTAAAAAGAAGAAAACATTATATACCTTTTAAGTTCCTACGTTTCACTCACTACTGCATTTTAGCAATAGCACACTTAGCATGAGATCAGGAATCTAATGGCAACTTAATGTTAACAAAATAAAGACAGGAAATTACTTATGCTCAAGTTAAGGGTTTAGGAAGAGCTTTATTTGCACATAGTAATAAGCTGGTAATGTTGCCTTCTTCCATTGGACCTATCTGAGGTATTTTAAAATCTTTAATTTTTAAAGTGTTTTATGAAATGAAGGCTATATTAATGTGTTAAAACCCAACATTTATAATTCATTGAACTTCGTTCACCCTGGTCTTTAAAATAATTGTCCTGGTTAGTGAATTGCTGCTTCTCATATCATTTTAGAGACAGCATCAGACTGGAAGTGTTTCGCTGCTGTGGGAGGCCCAAGCTCTGATTCTCATTCATGTCCCAAAAGATGCTCATGACGCTTTGGAGGGAAACATTTGTTACAAGTGATGCACTTATTTAAAAAGATACTGCAGATAAACCTGTAAATCCGTGGATTTTTCTTTTTCATTTTTAAAACATTTTCAATTATATATTGCTTGAGCCTCATTAGATAGGTAAATAAAATATTAAATTCATTTTAGAGATGAGAAAATATGTCCAGCCACATACAAAAATAGAGAAACACTAGAAGCAAAAGCAGAATGGTGGTTCTTGCCAGTGCTCTGTTGAAGCAATAGGAAATTTCACTTAGTAAATGAAAGGACTAATTTTAAAAAAGACAAGCTATGGTTAAAGTAGATAGAGGACTTTAAGGCAGTGAGTTTGAAAACATTGAAAAATCTAAAGTAACTTATCAAAAGTGACAAGGAATTTGTATTTTTAACAATATATATACAACGTAAAAGCCAACTCCTCTCATCTTTACTCAAATATACTAGACACTTAGAAATTTACAGACAATACAGCAGAAAAAAAACAAAAAAAAACAAACTTCCGTGTATTAGGAAGATAGATTTTTTTTTTTTTAAACTGAAGATGCTATCAAAGCAGATCCTTTAAAATGTCAAAAACATTGTCAACAAGCCAAATTCATCCCAGGAAAGTAAGATTTTGACTCAGAAAGTCACATCATAATTAGAGTAAAATTGAAAATCTTGATACAGAAAAATACTCTGTAAAATTCAATGTCAATTGTTGATTTAGAAAATAATATAGAAACTAGGGCTAAATAACTCCCTTACATTGAGTGCTATATACAGTTGCAGTGCTTAATGTTAACTACGTGGAGGCATTTCCTTTAAAATCAGAAATGGGAGAAATAAAATTCTCATATTCTCAGTTATTTAATTGGATAATTTTCTAGAATCTGAACAGACTGATAGAGTGCAGTAAAGTTGCTGGATAAAAGATTAATATCCATAATCAGAATAATAAATTTTAAATATTTCTAATGAAAATCTATAAAAATTATAGTGATTCTATTAATTAGAGGTGTAAGATGGAGAAAATTATAAAATTTTCTTCTGGTATGTTAGAGAAAACCCAAAATAAGTGGAGAGAGATAGGATATTCATGGATTGAAAGCTCAAAATTATCCAAATATATGAATTGGGAGTTATCTTAATAAAAATCCAAATACTAGTAGTCATTTTTATGGACCTTAATAAGCTAATTTTAAGATTTATATAAAAACCAAGATGCAAGAATAAAGATCTTTTAAAAAAATGTATCATACATAATATGATTTTGGTGCTGGAACAGTGGAATAGAATAGAGTTCAGAATTAGCTGGAAAAACCTAATTTTATATGACTAAATTGGTATTATAGTCAGTGGATTATAAACCGATATATTGTTCGAAATAGATTATCCGTAAATAAATAATAAAACTGTAAACAAAAAAATCTTCATGTGCATGTAAGACTTATTGTGGAAAAGTAGTACAACAAACCTTTACAAGAAAGTAGGATATGCTTATAATTAGAGGGACGAGAAAATGTCTTAAGTAAATAGAAGCAAACAAAAATAAAAGATTGATACAGTGGACTAAAATAAACTTCCTATGCTTTGTCATACGAGAAACAAAACAAATCCCTATGACATGCTTGTGAATAGAAGTGTTGCAGTTCTTATAATAGGTAAAAGAGTATTACCAAAATAAGTATACAGTTGACAAATGGACCAAGTAAAAGGATAGCTCATTTAAAGAAGAAGTCCAAATGGCATAAAAAGGTGTGAAAAGTTAACAGGTTCAGAGAAATGCAAACTAAAATCATATGAAATACCAATTTATATAGGAGTATGGTTAAAATTAAAAAAGGTGATGATACCAAATCTATTATATGGAGCAACTAAAACATGTACATTGCTGGTAGACTGTAAATTGATAAAAATATTTTAGAAAGCAATTTGGAAATATCTATTAAAGTTGATAAGTATAACCAGTCCCCTAATATTTCCACTTCTTGTAATAAGAAAAATTTGAAAACAATATAAAATACACATATAGTTACTATATGGAATTGGAAATAACTAGACTGCACAAATAAAATATTTAGTAAAAGATTACCATAATTTGCTGCCTTTCACTTGAAGTTTAACAATATGCAAACCAATGTTATATTTTTTAAGGAATATGTGCATATGTAATAAAAAAAGTTCCGTACACCAACCAGACCTCTACTTCTAGAGATTGGAAAAAGATGATGCAAAACATCTGGATATTGAATAAATTGCAACAAAGATACTATTAAGTGTCTTGCTATCCTTCCAAGAAAGTAGGGAAAATAGCCAGCTCTTCCTTCTCAATTCACACAATGAGCACCAGACATGCAGTGGAAACAGAAAATGGGACTGCACTGGGAAGCATACAGATACAAAGAATTTCCATGTGGGAGTGGAAGATTAAGCCTGGATCAAAAATTGACACCCTTACCTTATATATAAATACAAGATACCTGAAATAATCTTTACATCCTTAGTGAAAGACCGGGTAGAGTAAAAAGAGTCATGAACAGACTATTGAATCTCAGAGGGAAGGCAGGGGAGAGTGGATGGGAAGAGATCAACCAATGGACTTGTATACATATATGCAAAACCCGTGGACACAGACAATGGGGTGGTGAGGGCCTGGAGGAGAGGGGATGGGATTGGCCTGGTAGAGGTTAATGGGGGGTGCAAAAGGAGGA